TGTCCTGCGAGATTCTCCCACCGGGGGTTATAGTCGAACTGGATTCGCTGTCGAAGAGCTGCCTGCAGGCGTCGACAGCCGCCACAGTTCTTATTTTGCTGTCCAACTTACCCAGTCCTCGCCCTCTCCTGCAAGAGCAGCTTCTTCCCAGCTGCTCAGTCATAGTGTAGATCGCTTCAGTAACCTCCATAGATCGTCTGGCAGATGAGATGGGTGCCGCATGGCTACCCCCCACCACACTCAGTAACCATGAGGCAAGTGTTCCACAGAGCCCCCCTCCCTCCACCCCACGCACACAGTCACCCCACTACCACCACCACAATCATGCACAGTAACCATGAGGCAAGTGTATCTCAGTGCCTCCTCTCCACACAGTTAACCACTATACCACTATCGCCACCACAATAACCCCGAGGCGATTGTGCCACAGTGCTCCTTGTACACAACCACACCATCACAGTAAACAATCCACACCACTCCTATTCCCCGACATTCACATAATGACGACAACACACCTATCCCTAAGTCGGAATTTTAGTCCGCATTGAATCTAAACTAAAAAAAAAATCGACATTAAAAATAATTAATTTTGAATTTGCCAAATTATTATCTAATTAATTCATTGTTCCTATAGAGCTACCGCTAGTAAGAGCTAGTCCTCATGGTTACAAGCACTATTTATGATAAATAAATAATAGCCGTATCCCCCCCCTGCTAGTTCCCTTCTCCACTCGCACCACTCTGCATCTTAACACCCCACATCCACCCCTCAAGCCCCCTGCCTCCACCCTGAAAAGCGTCCCATGAGACGTTGACACGTTGAAGGTGTGGCCAGTGGCAGGACGAACAGGTATGGGGCTAGGAGTGGAACATCTTCATTTTGACCCTCTTATCCTGGACGCTTCTGGCTCGTGATCACCTCAACAGCTTGTAGCCCAAGAGGAGGAAGCTTTGATTTTGAAGAAAAGTTAAAAATACAAACCCCCACCCCTCAAAAAAAGTACAAAACTCATCTTTGAGAGGTTCTACAGACTTTTTCCCCCCAATTTAACAGATTTATGTCAAAATATTACAGTTACTGGGACTGAATCCTTATGATCTTCACAGCTGACCTCAGTATAGTCCTGAGCCATGCCGCTGGCTGCCTCGCTCGTCTCCCCGGTTCCTCTCTTATAGCTTCACCAAAAAATACAAAATAAAGGCCATTCACATTTGTTGACACGGCTTATAAGACAACTTGATCTCATTAGATTTAAGGTACAAATCATCTCCTATATAAAAAAAAAAGCAGTAATGTAATACCAATTTCATTATACCTTTTTTCTCTTTTTACTCTTCAGGATTTCACAATGGATTTCTATTTTCGGCAATATTGGACAGACCCACGGTTAGATTTCAGTGCTTATAAAGGTTTGAACGAAATCCAAGTCAGCACAGACTACACTGGAAAAATTTGGGTGCCCGATACCTTCTTTCCTAATGAAAAGCGGGCGTACTACCACACTGCCACCACGCCAAATGAGCTCTTGCGCATCTCATCCCAAGGCAATGTGTTGAGGAGTATAAGGTAATTACACAGTGCGTCGTTTTCCCCGTGTGCACTCCATGCTCAGACAGAAGAGGAAGAAGGAGGAGGAGGAAAAGTAGGAGAAGGAGGAGGAGGAGGAGAAGGAGTAGGAGGAGGAGGAGAAGGAGCAAGGCCCAGGAACTAGCTCGAGACCGGCGAGAGCTTACGGTTGAAAGGTTCTGTTCTGAGCATTGAAATTAGGGGAACACCGCTCCTTCCACTACCTTTCCCTTCCGATTTCCTTGGTGTGATGTGCCAGTCAGAGTTCATATCTGCTTTTGGGCTGTTATTACTGCCTTCCCCCGACACCCTTGTGATCCTCCTTTAATCCTATCAATCCTTGCAGATACAAAATACCAATTACCATTCTCCTATCCTCTCTACACTGACGGGCTCACCAACACTCGGACGCAGAACATGCGTGTTTCAGTTTCCTGAACTCCTTTCGTATCCCTCTCACTCTCCCGCAATTGACTGAGTCCCCCTCCCCCTTATGCTTAACACAATCGCCAAACAGAATTCATGCAAGGTTTATCGAAGTCATATTTCCTGTTTTGACCTCCCGGACCTTTCAGTCCCACCATGGTAACTGTTGGGCTTCCAGGCCTGCCTAGAATCAGAGCCCGTGGACTTGTTCAGCAGCTTCCCGAGGTCTTCTTTAGCCTGTCTGAGTTCTATAGTGCTCCTACCCGCGCCTTGTTGTGGTGATAATGTGTGGCTGCTGTCGCCTCGCCCGGGTGGTCGTGGCCGGCCCACCACACATAACATTGAGTCCTACTACTACTGTACCAGTAAGCTTCGGTGTAGCACTCAAAGTCTTCCTTGCCACGTAATAATTGCTTTCCTCTTGAGTAACTGTATTTAGCTTGACATGATCAGTCTGTCAGAGCTCTCTTCACCTTTTTCAACTTTCTTCTGAATGAACCAAACCTTCCTCTGTATCTGTCTCTTTTGGAATAAATGTTGCTTGGCTTTGGTAACCTTCACAGCAGTGCACTCTTTTTTCCCCCCCTTTCCCCTTTTTATTAACCCCAAGACCCGTAGACGCTGATATGACCCCTCTCCGTTACCCAGTACGTACCCCAGTCGTCGAGGAGGCGACCCGCCCTGCTCCCACACGAACAGGTACGCCGTGAAATAAAGTATACCACCATCGCTTTCCCTGGGTCGTCCCAGTTGACTTATTTCCCGTTCAATATTTACGTTCTATAACGCTACCCTAGCCACGAATTTAGCTCCCGCCACCACCCTTAGTCCCAGGCTGTGACCCACCATCCCAACGCTTCCTTAGCCAGCCAGTCCCTGTAGAATGGTGGCTTTCCCAGTGTGTTCCCCCTTGGTGCGTGTTATATCGGCCCCACACCGTGCCTGTCCGGGAGGACAAGTAGGGCCGGACCTCACTCTGTTACCTCCCCGGATGGCGTGTAGTGCTGCAGTGCGCCATACAACAGCGAAGCGTGCTGATGAGGTACTTGGCTCACTCTCCACAAAGGTTTGCGTCCTGATGCTCTGTCCTTTATCATAAATATGCTGATTAAAATACAATTGCCTATTACGCACACAAACGAAAAAAAGTATCATTCGCTTATCTCTTAGTTCCTCTTCTGTTCTCCTATGATTTGAGTAGATTATTTGGTAGGTATCCGAGCGCTCATCATCAACAAGAAAGACATTTGAACATCTAAACCTCATTCTCAGGTCTAGTTCAAATCCCTATTCCATTAGATAAAATAAAAAATATATTTTATTTCTATATGACTCGAGTCAAAGTCGTACAATAATCTATCATTAATCTAGGTTCTCCCCTTTTTTGCTATAAATTCTCAAGTGTTTACAACCTAACGGTACCTAGTGTGAAGCAGTTGAGGGTGTGTTCACCATACTATAAAGACTTAAATAGAATTGAAGACTATAAGAAATAATGAATTCACCCCAAAAATACACGGTACATGCCTTCATCCGTATTGATAATTTCCCTACAAATTACATGCAATGTTAAATATCCCTTTAAGAATCACTCGAATTACAAGCTCATTTGTAGCATTCAGTTTCTCCCATTCCTTCCATCAGCGTGTGATCAACTTGATCATCAGAGGACTTCCACAGTTTGCTGCTCCAGAAAATGCAGAAACATACATTACTCAAATCCTGGTAGAGTAGCCACACTCTGAACTAGTCACATATACAAAGTATACAGAATGAAGACATCTGACTGCTACAAATCTACCCATCCCATACAATCTTCTTGACCGATAATCATCGCCTTCAGTTTTTTTCTCTGTACTGAAAGTCGCCACCGCTTCCCCAACCCTCTAAAAAAAAATATATCCTCAGTACTAGAAAAAAAAGGAAGAGTTACCCTTAAAAATCATTGAGCCACCCTTCTAACCCTGAACCTCTAATACACAAGAGCTGGAGGTCGTCCTCAGAGCGATAAGATGTTTCCAGGAGTTTACTTCTATCATAATGTGCATATTTTCACATTTTCAGACGGACGTGGCTCCCATCAATAATTCTGGACATGCCACATTATTTCCCACCCTTCTGTCTGATTGGAATGATATTTTTATTTTTATTTTTTTCACCGAGGATGGATTGTACTCCCTCTTGTCTTTTAACTTATTTCTCTTTCATATATAAATATATTTTTTTAAATCTCTTAAGCCTTTGGTCTTCAACGAGTTATTTGTCTATCTGTCTCTCACCACACGCTCAACACACTTTATATTGCTGCAAAACTTGAGGACCACAGAGATACCGCAGTCAATGAGACTCGGTGCTGGCTGAGATCAGGAACGAAAGAGTGGAAGTACCACTCCCCAGCTCAAACATCTTCACTGTGGTGGAACACAGCATTTTTTTCCGAAATCAGAGAACACGGATATTTAATCCAAGCAATTATTTTCATTCTAAATACTTATGTAATGAGCCTGTGATTCCTCGTCCCAGCCAGTCAAATGATCTGTGGTCGCTGAAATGTGTGTATTTTTTAATTTATTACATATATAATTTATATTTTTAAGCACCGTACACCAAGAATAATTTCACCAACTCACCAACCACTCTGTTATTTAACTCTTGTTATTTAACTCTTGAATGTCCAATCTATAATCTGAAGATGTCTTCCATCCCCTTCCTTCAGTTCTAGATATTCTTCTTTAACTTTCATTCGTCTGTAATCATTCCTCTTCCTGTGCCTCTCTCACAGTGTGTCTGAAGAAGCGCGTGGATGTTTGCCTCCATATTACTGACCAATGTCGACTCATCTCTACTTTCTGACCAACAGTTACCATCCAACTTGCTAAAAGAAAAAGAAAAGAGAAAAAAAAGAATATATATATATAAAATCAGGTCATTAACTCAGCTTAAAAAAAAATCCCTGCTTGTTGAGATCTTCAGCTGACACTTGCCTTTTGTTTTCTCCGATCTTCAGGACTTTACTCTCGACTTTTATTTTCGCCAACACTGGACCGACCCTCGGCTGTCCTTCCCCGATCGTGGGGGTTTGGACGAACTCACAGTGGGCTCGGAGTATCTGCAGAAAATTTGGGTTCCAGACACCTTTTTTGCCAATGAGAAGAAGTCCTATTTTCACACGGCCACCACCTCTAATGAGATGCTCAGAATCACCAACCAGGGCAAAGTGTTGCGGAGTATCAGGTGAGACAGGGATGAGCCAGGGTTACGCACAGCTCCGCCACCTCCACACCAACAACCTCCACACCAACAACCTCCACCCCAACCACGGTCAGACGGAGGCGAGGCAGGTATAGAGCGTCCCTGGGCAGCACCTCCGGAGTATTGTTAGGTGGTGCCGTGGTGGATTTTTATTGTATCCATATCACACACTCTTTTTCACTAGACCTGCCACGGAATTACAACTGCTCCCATACTTACAGGTCGGTACGTGGGATTACTGGGTATAACACGCTCAAGGTTGCATTAACCTCGCGTGATGAAGCCACAGAAACACACACACATATCCTTCATCAGCTGATCTCAAAGCGTGACACAACGCTCCTGCTGTTTACTCTCAACACTGTTATGAATAGTTTGTGTACGTCATGAGTGGCAACTGTAAACTAGGAAACAGGTGCTTTGCGGCGCGAACTTGCCTCCATAGCTCAGCTCCCAGGGGCGACCTATCCAACCGTGTAAGATCAGTTCCTCCCTGATGATTACTCTGCTCTCCCCTCGTTCATCGACTCATTCTTGATACAAACATATTCAAGTGAGGGCACATTGGCCTTTATGTATAGTCAAACACCAGTCAAAATTAAGGTGCTTTTGGGTATTGCGGTTGAACGCAAAGTCGAGCATGAACGGAGGCGGTGACGCAGGGTAACTAGCATGCACACCCTGGCTCCCCAATTATCTCTGTTTTTTCCAGTCGTCGTTGTGGCATTGCACGCTCGACATATTTGACTTTCAGTTAAAAGAATATATAAATATAAATATATATATATACTTTTTTCTATTTGGCGTTTAACCAAAGAAAATTGAACGGAAGAGGAAAGCTTTGAGTTAGTCAATATCAAATTAGGGCCCCATATTTGGTGACAGCCACAACCGTTTTCTTTGGTATCGTCTGGGCGAACTGTAGAGGGCAGAATGGTAGTTGATAAGTGATGGTCAGCCACGCAGTTCCCTCCTTCAGGTAATGTATCCTCTGCCTCTGTACTCTCCCATCACAGTCACCATGACATCTGCCTGTTGTAGAAATAACAATTAATGTCTCCATCCCTGATATAATAGAACATGAAATAGCCTAAGATAGGTCTGAAGGCAGATATATTACTGGAGACTGCAGCGAGTTTCAATAATACAATATCAAACATAATTAATAGAGCAGGACATTTTCAATTGGGTTTTCACAAAGCTAGCGCAGTGAAGACTAGTAGTCAATACTAGTCAATAAGCATTATTCATCAGTAATGCTAGGCTTGGAATACACAGAATTAATCGATCTCAAACAACTAAATATATATATCCACCTAGAAGGGAGTGTACGGAAGCAGTTATAAGAAATTTATATGAGCACTAGAGTCTTGATCCTTCGTCATTTTCCTAAACATTTTCAACCAGGTAAGTTTTTTGGTTTATATTTTAGAAAACGCGTACTGGTGGCCTATGAGTTTTTTTGTTTTTCTAATACGGTGTTTTATTTTGATTTTTTGACGTGTTTTATGTTAGCAATCAACGTCCGATTATTCCACTTTCCTCTTGGGCTCCATTGATCTCGTTTTTTTGTTTTGTTTTTGTTTTATGTACATATATATGATATAAGGAGGCCAGCCTGCAGGTACTGTTGAACTAATTTTCAATATTCTCTATTTTATCTCAATGTCTTACTTTAATGACCCTATTTTATTATAATTGTATTGTTTCAATGTATTCTTGTATATCAGAAGTTAAAATGCCATATTTGTGGACAAATACATGTTAAATAATTACGTCAAAATTATATTTTCAATTTTCTTCGAACCAAATTTAAATTATACTTACATTTGAAGACATATTTTATTAAACACATTTGAAGATGTATTTTGTTAAACTTACAATTGAAGACGTATTTGATTAAACTTATATTTGAAGATGTTTTTTATTAAACGTACATTTTAAGCCGTATTTTATTAAACTTACATATGAAGACGTATTATATTAAACTTACTTTTGACCCGTTCATGAATGTTATTATCTTAAAATTTCTAATCGATCCTAAACTGGTATATTGGAGGAAGGAAGTAGCGTCCCTCCTTCTCTTTTTCTTGCTCCTTGGACACACATGTCCATCACCTTCATTCTTCCTGGAAGGAACCCGAGGTCATTTCCTTCTGTAACTTCTGTGTTTTATATCAATATACTAGTGCAGAGTACAGTAACGATAAGTTTTTAACGTCGAACGATTTAACTATAAATGGTTACTGAATCCTTAACAATACTGAACCATATAATTTCGACCTCCTCCAGGCCTTTGTGTACCGAGAATGGTAAAACAATTCATCATCACAAATATCTAACCAGACATCATAACGAAAAAATGCCATCAGCAACTTGAGAAAATACGTCAGACCACAGATATGCCCTGACACTGAAGGTTAGCAATGTTGATGATCTCTCATGTACTGATCCCTAGGTATGTTTCTCTCCTTTTTTTTAATCCTTCGTCAATGGCGTTCCCATGGGTCGTCGTCGTGGCCCACTGCTGTTTCCATACCGTGGCCGCCTCCACAACACCCCCGGTCGCCTACCCTCTTCCCTACAGACTGACCATCACTGCCTCCTGCCCGATGAACCTCCAGTATTTTCCAATGGACCGACAGCTCTGCATCATCGAAATTGAAAGTTGTAAGTAATAGACTTTAGCTGTATTGTCTTGATGGGTCTTATGGGTCTTCCAGATGTGTAAAGCCGGTAGAGGTGAGGGAAGTCCAGACCATCTCAGAGGTCTTGATGTAAATTATTTCTTGAGGTGTTTGAGTTAACAAGAGAAAAAGGTGTAGGAGAAAAATGGACTGCTCTCAGAGCTGAAGGATGTTCTTTGGAGGCTGAAGGCTGCCTTGAGGAAGTTGAAGGTTTACTAAAGGAAGCTGAATGTTGTTTTGAAAAAACTGGTGTCAGTGAAGACTGTAAGGCGCTGAAGTCTGCCTCAAAGTAGCTGAAGGCTGCCTTTTATTTTTACAGAAACTAATATATGTCCTAAAAATTATTGTTCGACTTACCTCTTCCCTTCCTCCCTCCTTCTCTACATTCTTCTCTACCCAATTCTATACATCCCTCCCTCCCATCCTTCCTACATACATCCCTCCCTCTCTCTGCTTCTCTTATTTTTTTAAACTAAGTATAGGGATCATCATGTATAAGACATCGTACATCAGCTCATATGAAGCCTCACCTCGAGACTAATGTTTAATTATATTTGTATTAGGTTTTCATGATGTATAAATTATTCTCGTAAAAGGAAGTATATTTCTTACAATTATGTTTGTAACAGGAAAAAGACGAAGCCAACTGTGTACCGGACCCTTAATATAGTCGGATGATTTTTGTTTTTGTGTTACAAGCAACCACTTACTGAGAGAACATGTTCCAAGTGTGGGTTAGCCAAGAAATAAATGGTCGCTGATGGGAGTTTTCCTTCCGAATGGCCCATCTGGCATAAAGCTATTGATGGCTGAACAACTTGCGTAGCGGTTAGCCACTTCAGGTTGTCCTCAAAGTTCGACCTGGTGGGAAAACTTGTGAACATTAGCCTTATACATAACAGTAGGAACCTGTTATCAGTTGCCTAAATCCGAGTTACTGATTAGTACAACCAAAACAGGTTAAAACTAGAGCTGATCAGTCTTCTTCAACGGTCCTTTACCTTATCTGGAAGCTGGATATGAGATGCCATCGAGGCGAGCGGTGGACACACGTTGGAAACCAATTTGTACTTTATGTGAGGTTCAGCAACCACTGCTGTCAAGAAGATATGAGATTCGCTTTATGATTGTTACTTTCTTGGCTTTCTTTCTTGGTTGGTTTAGCACGGGTCTCGTCACGTTTATTGAGGAGTCAAACTTCGACCTGAAAAATGTCCACTAGCTTTTGGCGCCATTCATCCGAATGCCTGTACCAGGTGCATTGTCACGCAGAAGTTATCACTGCCTATGTTTTCTCAGCCACAAATGTAACTTACCATGGTCTCATGATTCTACTCTCTCTCTCTCTCTCTCTCCTCTCTCTCTCTCTCTCTCTCTCTCTCTCTCTCTCTCTCTCTCGCTCTCTCTCTCTCTCTCTTCTCTCTCTCTCTCTCTCTCTCTCTCTCTCTCTCTCTCTCTCTCGCTCTCGCTCTCGCTCTCGCTCTCTCTCTCTCTCTCTCTCTCTCTCTCTCTCTCTCTCTCTCTCTCGCTCTCGCTCTCTCTCTCTCTCTCTCTCTCTCTCCCTCTCTCTCTCTCTCTCTCTCTCTCTCTCTCTCTCTCTCTCTCTCTCTCTCTCTCTCTCTCTCTCTCTCTCTCTCTCTCTCTCTCTCTCTCTCTCTCTCTCTCTTTCGCTCTCTAATTTTCTAAGCGTATATGTTACTTCAAAGGCAAAGTTACCCTCTCAACAATGTTTCACCCTGAAAATGGAAAACCAGCATCATTCATCGGCCACATGATTCCTGCACAGACGTTGCTCGAATGACCTGAGATTACAGGCGTATGTACCGAGAAAGAGATACAGTCATTGCTTTTTTGTAAATTTCTGCTGTCTTCCGCTTCCGATCCCTGTTTCTTAACATCTTTATCACTTACTTCCTGCCCTTTGCCCTTCTCTCACCCCCCTCCTCGCTCTTTCTTTCCCCATGATTTCCACCTCAACCCTATCTATCCATCCGCTATGCGGTTCACCCCCTCTATTTATCTCGATTCCTCACTTAATTTACCTGCGCCCAAATCCTATTCACCTCAATCCTACCCTCATCCTCCTACTGACCTCCACTCATTCCCCACTGTCATACTTTTCAGCTTCATAGGCAATTGAACAGCTCGGGCTTCGCATTGGGATAGCTTCTTGGACGACGGAATCGAGCAGAAAAGTGGAGTGCCACAGAGAAAGTGCCTATCACCCACTTTTGTCAACTTATACACAGTTTAACATGGAGAATATATGACATATGCAGACAACGTAACTAAAATAATCTGCCACCCACGACCGTCAAATACGTTACTGTCCCCCCCCCCCTCTTCTTCCGGAAAAAAAAAACACGGTGGAAATATAATTCTTCAACAAGTTTGAAAAGCAATGGAAAATAGGCGCCAACAAACAAACGTTGCAAATAATATATATTGCAAACAGAAAACCCCTGAGAGCCATTATCCTTGGCAACCATCTGTGCCAACATAAGAACGTAGACACGGTACCGGGGCTCAAAACTAATAGTGTGGGAGAAAACCTGACTCCAATAACTAATAATTAAATATATACTTCGATAGCTATGAAGGACCTCCACCTTTTGAGAAAAAGTGGAAAACAAAATAAGGCAATGGAAAAAACTGATCCCAAGAACTAGTGTCCTATGAATCTTAGTGAAACTGTATTTCTGATATAAATGGAGTCAAATTAACTTACACAAAATTGGGGGGTTACATGCTAAAAGAATAATACATCCCTAGCATTATTCTGGTGCGGGTTCTTCACCAGAGTAAGTGAAATATGAAAGTAAATAAGGTTGAATATATATTAATTGGAGGTAAATGCTCCTCAATATACTACTATGCTCCTCGATATACTACTGAAATGTTGAACAGTATCAGTAAATCAATGGGTTAGTGTAATTGATCTCCTTGGGAGATCACTACTGTAATTACAGAGTTATTGCTACAGATAAAAAAGGGACAGCTTAGCTGTAAATCTAGTGAGGTGTAATCAATTGCTATGCTCAACCGACGACGTGTTGCATAGGGCAAATTGTTGCACGGAACGGTGGGAAGCCTAGCACCTCGGTTGGCGTCGCCTTGGTACTGAAAGGCAATTACATTGTAGAAATCTACATAATAAGTAACTACAAATAAATCCTAAATCATGAGGATAACTGTAGGAAATTTCAGCTAATATCTGTGCAATTTATATTCAAGCACTGTAAATTTCTTCTAATTGAGAAATAATAAAAATAATCATCTATTCAGATTGTAAAATTACTTAAGACACGTACGGGATTTATTTGTTTGTTCTACGGCCTAACGACAACTAGCCTAAATGTTAATTGTGGCCACATAATATCAAAAAGATAAACTTAGCTGCCGAGCCGCGGGTCCGTTGATGTGAAGACTTGAGCAATTCTTCGTCCTCCAGCTGCTGCTTGAAAGGCGTTGACTTTGGAATTGCTCATATGCTAGTCGGGGACACGGCTATTGTGCCAGATAACGTGGCACCGCTCTACTGGTCGTGGGAGCGAAATAAGTGGGATCAAAACGTAGCTATGACGGCTACACGCCATTGACAGCTACACGCTGTCAATGGCGTCCGCGTCGTGCTCTCTCGCTCTCTCGTGTCTAGTGACGCTCTCCCGTCTTCCTCCTCTTCCTTATTGCGCATGCGCGGCTCTCGATAGACATCTCGAGCGTAAATGTATATGTATATATCGCAATTGACTAAGAAAGAAAGAGGTAGTGACGAGTATTAATATCACATTAAATTCTTCTGTGATAAAATAGAATTTCTCGTAACATAAATTGGCTTATCAAAGTTGTGCAGCCAATCGAGAAAATTAAAGTAAAATCATTTACATCAAAGTAATTTCCTCTAGAATGTTTGATATCAACTAAATAAGAGAGTTCCAGTAATTAGTAGTATACTACGAAATTAAACTTATTAGTAAGTAACTATTTTTAGTAAAGGAAATGATAAACTGGACTCTTGTTATAAATCCAATTAAATGTGGAGAGAATTCATGTTACTGCCTCTCGTTCCTCACGTCGTCACTCTGACTAGGAAGAATCTGGCAATATGTCTAAATAAATCATGATAATGATCAAATCTACAAGTTAGTGATTTTAGTAACTACTTGTGGTTAATACAAAGGTTGCATAAAATACAAAGATGTATAAAACTGTTGATTATTTCCAACAAATAGGAGAAGAAATCAGAATTCACATAGATGAGAGAATGAACAAAGCACAAACCGCCCCCAGGCAAACTGATATAATAGTCCATAACCTGTGGCACGAACATACAGCTACACTTACACAAAGCCGCATCGCGAATACCCTCCAGTATTACTACGTATCTTATTAAAAAAAAAACTGCCGCAAAAACTACAAGTAGCTGCAAAACACCGTCCACCGTATGACCTGGCGATCAAGGAACATCATGGACCCCTGAACATATATATACAACCACTCAACATCAGGATACAAACGCATGCCACCAGGGTGTTGAAGACCATCAAGATGACTTATTGATAAAGTAATTATTCAAGATTCTAATATTAGAAGAACCACAACAGCAGAAGCAAGACGACCCCAGCCTCCTGAAGCAGAGCCTGGGGGCCGCACGAGCCCCAGGAGGTGGACGTCCCGGTCCCACACCTACGGGTTCCTGACAGAGATCGTCACAGCCCCCCCTTTCACCAGAGTCCGGCTTCCTTCATGACCCAGCAGAAGGAAGATTAATAATTATTAAATAATTACATTGTTATTCTAATAATGATTATAATTATTACAATATAAGAAACCCTGAGGTCACAATAATATTACAATAATAAGGAACCTGAGGGTGTGAGGCCCGGACGTCCACCTCATGGGGCTCATGCGGCCCAGGCTCTGCTTCAGGAGACTGGGGTCGTTCTTCTCCGACCCCGACCACGATGGTCTCTGAATTTGGAGTCCCTGTGCCTTCTTTTACTAACTTCGAGGTAACCTCCGGAGCTA